AAAAAAAAGGGGAAGGGGAAAAAAAAAAAAGGGGGGGGGGGGGGGGGGGGGGGGGGGAACGACAAGGGAAAAAGAAAAAAAGAATAAAAAAAAGAAACCTCTTCAGGAGCCATGAATACAAGACGTCCATTGTCGAAAACGCAGCAGCAGTTTTATCTTGCACACATGAAGCTGGGTGACACGTAGTCTATTTGCAATCCGACAGCACTTGGGCTTGTCCTACCTACCCTTGTGTAACGCAGGAAGGAAGACAGCATTGGCAAAACCCAACGGCAAAAATATATACCAAAGGAAAAGAAGCAAAATTGAAGACGCCGTAGCATTGCTCACCTTTCAAAACCCCCTTTTTGGGAAATGCACGTAACTCGCCAGAACCCTTCGTGGCACTTCATTTGCAGCTAAACATCAAAAGCGGGAAAGAAAGGACAGAGAGGAGAGGATGAGAAAAGGAACGGGGGGTGAGGGAGGGAGGGAGGGAGGGAGGGAGGGAGGGGGGGAGGGAGAGAGAGAGGATCCCAGAGGCTAGGCACGCCGGTATGACTGTCTTCGGCCAATAGCGAGAATCAGCAAAAAAGCAGTCAGAAAAACCGACGGCAAAGAGACAGGAGGAAGAAGAGAACTTTGCGTACGCTCAGCCGACTGTGGATGCACAGTTAGGGTAGGGTATACTCGCACAATAGAACTTTGTGAGACGCATCTGACCACAGTCACAGCCAGATTATGTCCAAAAAGAGCACGTGCAAGCACGAACTTGCACCAGAACTCAAACACGCCAGGATGTTCGCCCAGCAAAGGTCCTCGAGTCCCAAGGTCTTGAACCAGAATGCAAGGCGAATGGAAGACGAAGGGGCAGGGAGGGGGAGGACGCCAGAAGGGTTAGCGACACGGGCAACCGCAGGTGGGGGAGAGAGCGATGGATAAAGGGAGGAGGGAGGCTGTTGGCACTCGCCAAGTGCAAGACCGAAAGACAATGTGTAAGGCAGACAGACGGGCAAGAGAGAGAGAGAGAGAGAGAGAGAGAGAGAGAGAGAGAGAGAGAGAGAGTGTGGAGTGACGAAGTCAAGCACACTCTCAATGACGAAGCCAGTCAATTTTTCGAGTTGACCGTGCTGATGATCAGTCCTTCAAAATATATTACACGACAAGAAAGGGTCTAAGAACCTGTCAGAAAAGTTAACAGAACAACGGAACTGCATACACGTACCAAACCGACAAGAATTCTGAAGTCGCGTAAAGGTACACAGAAGACTCTCTCTCTCTCTCTCTCTCTCTCTCTCTCTCTCTCTCTCTCTCTCTC